CTCTCTCTTTCCCCTCAACACGAACGCAGCCGCTCGCCAGCAATGGAAAGATTTCGTGGCGAGCCCGCTCTCGCCGTGGATGTTTCCTGTGGCTGAGCTCAGCTTTAGCTGGAACTTTGCATCCCATGTGCAGGCTCCTGACGTTACTCAAGACTCTGAGAATTTATCAGGATTTCTGTTAATTAGCATTGCTGGGGTGTTTCAGGGTTGATGAGACCTCTAGAAGGGAAATAATCATTAGTGAACCACAGCTTCTCCCCCTCCCTCTCCTCTTCTAAACATCTGCTGCTCCACTGCAGCTGCACATTAAAGATTTCTCTCATCTCAGGTTTTTAAAATATTTTAAAGTGGCTCTTCCCACCCACAGCAGCCACCCCCCAAATTGGGGAGGTGCCAGGGAAATCGTGATTTTCCGCAAACCCCCCATCCCAGCCAGCGCACGCGTTGTAGTTATCACCACTCCCAGCATGGAGGGAGTTTTGGTCTTGTTTTAGGATAAAAAAAATTAGATTTTCTACATGGTATTTTCATAATCTTTGGATTTTCTCCGTAGTATTTTCTTAATCTTTTACCTTTTCCTTTTTTTTTCCCAATGCTTTGCTGATTTTTTTAAATGAATGGATGAGGGACATCCACTGTCTTTTTGGTTATTTTATTTTATGTCTTTTATTTTATTTTATGTATTTTTCTTTTGCTATTACATCATCCTGCTAGAAGTGCTAATCAAATCCTGGAAAACAACCTTGTTGGAACATGTGTGGATGGTAAGAATCAAACCAGGCTGCCCTTGTGGTTTGCATTTTCATATTTCATCTTACCAACATTTTCCTGTGGAATTTCGTTAAGCTGGCTTTGGCATGAAATGAAAAGGCAGAGGCTCAAGGGTTGTACAGCGACGAGCCTAAAAAAAAACCAACCCAGAAACTAGAAAACTTGAAAAAAAATAAAAAATAAAAAAAGAACCACTCTAAATCCTGACTTTGGGAACAAATAGATATTTTTATTCAGTGTCTAGCTGCATATATACGTATGTAAAGCGTGAAGTACAACTCTTAGGTGCCCTGGTGAGTGTGCAGACCGTGGTTTTTGTGACTGTAGCAGATTTTGGGGACAAGCTGCAGCATTTCCAGCGCTCCAGCCACTTGCTTCGGACCGATCTCCTCAGGCTTTGTCCCACCTCACTGGGGTTTTTTTTTTCTCCTTCCTGCATTCAATTTTATAGCAGCTCTCCATTAGCTGGGAAGGCAGGGGCACTGCTGGTGCCCTTGGACTCGTGGCGTGTTCATACATCTCATCTTGGCCAAAGAGGGATATTTTCCAACTATTTTATCACTTGGGGGGGTAAAATTAACAGCTGCTCAAAGGTCAGAGCTGCCAGGTTGAGGACGTGTGCGCTTGTATCCTGTTTTAATGCCGCAGAATTTACGCGGCGACGTTTTAATCTCAAGGTAAACAGAAATTGTTTTCCTTTTGCTAGAGCAAACAGCTCGATATTCTTTGTTTATCAGCTGCCCACAGGGGAATCACTCAGCTCTCTTCCCTCAGCTCATCCCCTGCTGTATTAACCCATCAGTGATGTTTTCCTCTGGATCCATCCTTGTGCCTGTGATATCTTTGCTTCCTCGAGGCCGAACATCCTGATGGCTGAGAACTCCAAGTTGTTCTTCAAGCCAACCCCAGCCTGACCCCGCTGCTCCCAGCTCACGCCACCTCTGGTTTCGTGGCTGGAGAAAGTTGTTGGCTGCTGCTTGCTCAATAACATCCCTTTGGATTTAAGTACAAGGAAGATGCTGCTCTCTACCCTGGGGTTGTGTTTCTGTCCTGCTCTTTGATGGCACATAAGCTCTTCCTTGAGAGCCCCAGCTCTGCCCTGATGTTGCTGATATGCCTGAAGGAGTGAGTGTGGCCAAAAATAAAACCTTTCAGACAGCAAACTCCTTCACCTGAACTGGAAAAACAGGCCCTGGCTGTGTTGTTGGCTTATCCTTCCTCAGAGAATAGCAGCTGGGAGGTTAAAGCACTTGCTTTCTCTGTCTGCTCTCCCTCACCCTGCTTATTTTAGCGATATCTTTTAAAAATATGTTAACATGGCACTTATTGGAAGGAAGAACAGATTTATTTGGTGACTGAAGGAAATAACGTGGGTTTCATCTGTGCTGGTAACTCAGTAAACGTGTTTGTTTTCTAGAAATCAAAACCACAGTGGTGTACCCAGCCACGGAGAAACACCTTCAGAAATATCTCCGGCAAGAAGTGCACCTCATCCGTGAAACCTGGGAGTATTACAAGGACATAACGCTGCCCTTCATCCAGTCCCAGAGCTTCAGCATCCAGGTAGGGGTACAGCTCTGCAGAGGTGGATGGCTTTGGTCTTCTCCTTCAACAACATCTCCTGCGAAGCCCAGGTTGGTCGTTTGCTCAACGTGTTGTAACCACACTTTGTCTTTTAGCTGAGTAACCAGCTGGCAAATTATTTCTGCTGGTCCTGAGTTGTGGTGCTTCCTGCTTCACCACATCCCCTTATCCATCGGGCTTTCTCGAGGCTGTGTGACCTCAGCAACGTTATCTCCCTGCTCTCCTCATCCTTCTGTCCTCTGCTCCCTCCTTCTCTATCTTTACAGAAAATCATTTGCCTTGGAGATGTGTCCCAAGTTGCCTTTCTCAAGGTTTCTGGAGATTTTCTGTGCTGAGATGTTACTCCTTCTTTCTAAGGGTGGGTCCCTGGGTGTTACTGCACTTCACTGGACTTTTTAAGAGTCTCTTGAGTGTTGTGGAAAGGGGAAAGCACGGACTGCTCTTGAATTCCTGCATCACAACTCACTCCTCGGGCTTTGCCTTACAGTCCCTCTGCCATTTAGCCCTTTGGTCTGTGTTCCATGTGGCAAAACTGTGCTTTTAGTCTCCTTATTGCCCTAAGCAGCAGCACTTTTTTTCTTATTTTACATCTTTTTTGACCATTCCTCTCCCTATCTTCTTAAGAGACCAAAGGAACACAAGTGTGTAGGAAACAGCTTGTGCAGAAGGGGAAGTAAAACAAATCCTGAGCCTATCTGTGAAAAATGCCATTTCTTTGTCTTTATCTAACTGGATTGAACGAGTGGAAGGGGAAATGTGAAGGCTAACGGAAATATTTGGAGGACTACAGAGGCCTCTCTGTTTTTCTGCTGGAGGATACAAAGCGTGGGTGCTTTCAGTATAATAGTTTTATTGTGGTGTCAGTCTCTGGACATGGATTGTCCTCTCCAGGCTTGTTCTGGAAACAGCAAAAGCAGTCAGCTGATGACCTGCCCATCACATGAAGCAGCGTTGGGTTGGAAATTCAGCTCATCTGATGGGTGAACTTATTTAGGGCACTGATAACTTGGCACTTGTGAAAAGAACAGGCTTTAAAAAACCCCAAAAAACCTAAAGGGCAAAACTTTCAATTCCTGCTGAGCTTCCTGCCCTGCTTTTCTTCTAGGGTCACAGAGCCACAGAGATCTTGTGCCATGCTTTCCGAAATCGCTTGGAGAATCTCATCTTCTCTAAGACCTTGTTGCTGGGAAGAAAAGACCAGGAATTTAAGCAAAAAAACCCCAACAAACAGATCAAGGGAGGAGAAGTTGGTTTCTCCCTAAGGATACATTCAGGTCCAGTTCACAATCATCTTCAGTTTTCATCGGATTAATTAAACTCTTGACAGAGCTCCCCAAAAGGGCTGTCTTTTTTTATTTTGAGCATCTGGTGTGTGCAGCATCCACTGACCCAGCTCGCTCGGTGTGTCCGTGAGACTGGCTGCATCTTCCCTCCCCACTTAGGGCAAGGAGAACGTTTCATACCTAAATTTGATGGGGGAAAATAATGTTTTGAAACATTTTTTCAGCTTCCACGGCCTTTTTTGCTGCCTTGTCTTATCTTCTAGAGACCTGTTTGGGGACTCCCTTGGCAGTTTAATACTTAAGCTAGAGTGTAAAGTGCATTTTGGAGGTGTAAAGAGCTCAGGTTGGGAGCCAAGAAAAGCAAAGATGCTTTTTGCTGCTCTTACTCTGTCACTTATCCCTGGTCTCTTCCATTTTGTATTCCCTGGATGGTCCTTTGCTTTAAAGGAGGATAACCAGAGCAGGGATTACAGCCACTCTGGAGGCTGAAGCTTTAAGCTTTAAGAGAAGAAGAAGAACTACCACAAGCTGTTTTCTAATCAGCCAGGAAACCAAAGAGACGTGCATTGCCCAAGAAAACCTTTCGTATTCGTCTGGCGAGCGCTGACTGCCAGCAGCCGGAGCCACATCCGACCTCAGGCTTGCAAGCAATCTGCTGCTTCCTTTTTGAACAGCAGGAAAAAAAGACAAAAAAAAAAAAAATCAGCCAAATTCCCTTTTCAGATCTTGTGAAAGGTTTTGGTGCAACCTGAGAGGGTAAAAGGTGCAAACAGCCTGGCCTGGAGGAGAGATGCTGCTGCCCCTCGGGGATTTTAGTATTTGCAGCAGCTCCATCTCTAGCCACGTCAAGCAGACCAGGAATATTACCAGTCCCCATCGAGGAGAATTATCTCCAAATCCTCTTAAGGTTAAATACAACTATTTCTACGCTGGGCTAAACCATTTCTGTTCAATACCTCATCTGCAGCTTGAGAGGAAAATAAAAATCTCTGAATTATTTAGCTAGCTGGTGGTGAAGTGTCACGCAGCCGGGTCGGGGCGGGGGGTATCTTTTCACTGAAGTGCTCATAATAGCCTGGAGTTTGTTGTTGGAGTGTTTTATGAATAATTAACTGCAAACATTACCAGCCATAACATTTGGTCATCTTAAAATCAAATAGTTTGTTGTTTTTTTTTTTTAAATATTCTAGTTGCAGGGAACATGCATTAATCCATGAGTTTGGGCTAAATGTGCCTGAGATGTTAGGTTTTTTTTTCCCTGCTGGTTTATAAATTGATATTTTTCTTTAAATCACATATTTCTCTTTCAGTGGGTATATAATATTCTGGAGAAGAAAGCTGAGGCCGATCGAATCATCCATGAAAACCCAGATCCTCGCGATGGCTTTGTTCTAGTTCCAGATTTTAAGTGGAATCAAAACCAGGTTGGTTTTTAACTCCTCTTTAACTTTGAAAGGATGTTGCTTGTCTGGAGAGAATCCAGAGGAAATGTCCATTTTTGTGCTACTAATAACACGCTGATGAAAGTTTTAGGAGGGGAATGTGCCCTTCCTGCTCACACCATCATTAAGTGATGATATTGCCAAGGCCTTTTATCACGTGCTAATTGTTGACACTGTAAAACACAGGCTGTTCTCACAGGGTTATTTATTAATTAACTTCGTTTTCTCTTTCCTGTATTAGGCCAAATATTGTCATGATGTGTTTGAACCTACATCCAGCTGTGTATTTGTTCCTGCTCAACTTGTTTGGGTTATTTTTTTCATTTTTTTATTTTTTTTGCCAGCCTCAACTTTAGGTGCAAACCAAGCAGATGTGTCGCTGCAATTAACTCTCCTCCACACAATATTAAACAGATGGTCGTTAGCTTATGAGCAGCTGCTTAACCCCTCGTGGGAGTGACCACTCGTTGAAACACAGACATTTTTAAGTTCAGGCTGTAATCCTAAATTGAGTTTTATTAAAAAAAAACCCCACTATTTTCTTGGGTTCCATCTCCCTTTTGTGCTGTATTGTGGGGAGGTGAAACTCCACACATGCACCCCTTGAACTTGGTGGAGTGAAAAAAAAAAGTCACTTTCGTGTTTCTGATCCTCAAAATGCTTCTCTGGGTGGCAGGGAGGGAAAGTCACCATATGAGTAAAACTTAGAAATGGGAACTGAAAAGTCAGATAGGAGCAGAAGGCTGCTTGTGGGCAACACAGTTCTGTGCTGAGAGCACCTGCTTCTGGTCTGGTGCTGAGTCGCCTCGGGGAATGACTTGAGGAGGACATGTGAGTAAGTCACTGCAGGATAGTCTCCATGAATTCTTCACAGATCAGTGACTCCAAAAGTCCCTTTTGAATGGGCTAACCAAGCTTGAATTTCCACTTCTTCACCAGGAGGTGTGACTTTCTTCCTGGAGAGACTTTGCAAAGCAGGTGATAAGACGGCAAACTTGCAGTCGTGCTCACACCACTGGCGTAAATTCTCACTTGCCGCAACCAAGCTTCGAGTCTCACATCAGGATTGGAGATGGATGGGTTAAAAATTGTGCTTTATTTTTTCTCTAGAGACCTGTTGTATCCTTGTCTTGCAGCTCACCTGGTCAGGGAGATGGTAGGATTTGTCTTTAAGGGAGGTTTCGTTTTGGGAAACTGAACAGGATCTTCTTGATTTCTTCCCAGTCTGCAAGAAGAGAACCGTCATCCCTGGGGTTATTGGGGGCCTTGGCGTTGCCTCTCCCTTTCCCAGGCAAATAATCCAGCATCCATCCCAGCCAGGGCTGTTGATTTCTGCCTTTGAGCCAAAGACTTTCTTCTTGGCTGTGGGTGACGCTGAGCCAGAGCTGATCCTGGCAGCCCTGGGGCTGCCTGTGAGCACAGTTCCTTCTGCTTTGTCCCACCAAACAAGCAAAACTACTAAATTAAATGAACAAAGTGGGAGAGAGCTCCCAGCTGGACTCTCCGCGCCTCCCCTTAGAAGTCCCTTCAGCAGCGTTGCTTTGCACTAACTTAGCACTTTGCCCCAAAAACGCTCAAATTCACCTGTAATTATTTCAGGCTGATTGTCAGGAGGAAGATGTCTCGTTTGCATCGTGAAGTCTGCACGCTGGCTGCCAGCCTCAACCTTCTGGGCGCTGCCTCAGCTCCTACTGCCCAACTTTGACAGTGGTTTGAATTGGTTTCTTGATTATTTTTTTTTAAGTTTTTGGTGTGGATTGGGTTTTTTTTGTTTTGTTTTTTTTTTTCCCCCCACTTCTTTTGAGGTGGTTTCAAACCCACAGGAGCCTCGAGGCGTTGCCTGAAACGATGCCCGGCATGACATCATTCGGGGCCTTTTTAGCAACAGGCTTATTTATTTTAAACAGCAACATGCAGATGTTGTTCTAAGGAGAAGAGATGTTTGCTTTTCCTCCCGCCAGCCAACTGTCATCCAAAGAGGACAAGCTGATACGTTTGTCTTTTATTTTTTTTTCTTTCCAGAGCTGTGCACAAGCTGCTTTGGGAATCAAACCGAACGGTGAACATCACTGTGTGGAAATAACAGCTTGGTGTTTCCAGAGCTCTGAGACAAAGAGTCCTGAGAGCATCTTTTTGGCACAAGCATCTGTTTCTAAATAGGTTTCCCACAGCTTTGAAAAGACCTACCGGCTCTCAAATATCTACACCCTTTGCTTTGTGGTGTTTATATTAGAAAGCCACTAACTAAGCTGAAAGAAACAGGGATTTTTATTTTAATTTTTATTTTTTTTAAAGTGTAATGATCCATATCCCTACATCTTGTTAAACATTAATTTGGTAAGTGCTTCAGGACATGCCAAAGGTCTGGCTGAGAGCTGCTGAGCAACTGTATTTTACCACGTTGGGGTTGTCCGGTGACTGATTAGATCTTGAAAATAGTTATTTATCAAATTAACGTGACTGGAAAGTGGCTGGTTATTTACACCCTGGAAATAGAGGAAGCTTTTCACTCAGAAAAAAAATCTACAGTTGCACTTTTGGCTGCTGTGATTCACTGTAAATCCTCGTCTGAGCGTGGAGATAAACCATCCGCTTGCTCTGCAGAAAAGGCCGTGCTCGGCGCGGTGTCTGCACGTGGGGGGTTGTTTCTGGGCTCAGTTTCCCTCATGTAACGGGGGGTGGGTGCCTCCACCTTTTCTGCCAGCTTGGATCTGCACTGGGATAATGTTCTTGAGATGTTCAGTGAGATGTTGTGAACGTGCAAAGAGCAACAGCAAGTGCTGTGTTTGCGGTAGAAAAAGAGTAGATGGATCAATCTGCCTTCAAAGCTGAGAAGATATTTGTGATCTTGCTGTTTATCGATCAGGGTGAAGCTGTCGTCTTCTCTTTATTCCTGGACAAAAACCCAATTTATCCAGAAATGATGCTTTGAGGTGCAGTGGGGTGAGTGCATCTTATCCTGGGAGATTCCTACTGGGCTCAACTTGAGTTGAGGTTAAACACAATGCAGGATCCTGGAAAGCTGTGGTTGATGCGTCAGGTCCAAAGTGCTCGTGCTTCCCTTTGCTCTTTCTGTGGTCACTTTGGTCACTGTTCTCCATCTCTCCACAGCTGGATGACCTCTACCTGATAGCCCTCGTTCACCGCCGAGACATCAAATCACTTCGGGACCTCACGGCTGAGCACCTCCCGCTGCTGAGGAACATCTTGGTGGAAGGCAAGGTGAGCGCGAGGCTGGGCTGACAACTGCTTACCTCCCGCAAGGTCCCTGCCTGACCAACCTACACACATCATCTGTGTGGGGACCAACAACCAAAGGGTGATGATTGTGGTAGGTTGACCCTAGTTGGATGCCAGGTGCCCACCAAAGCCGCACTCTCTCTCCTCCTCCTCAACTGGGGTCCCTCTCAGTCCTCCACAAACTTCTCCAACTTGAGTCCCTTCCCATGAACAAAAGTTCTTCATGAGCTGGGTCCTTTCCATGATGTGCAGTCCTTCAGGAATGGACTGCTCCAGCTTGGGGTCCACCATGGAATCATAAGTCCTGCAAGTAAACCTTCTCCAACATGTGTTCCTCTAGAATCCACCCCTGTGCCCCCCTCCTACCAAAACCCTTGCCACAATGATACATCACAAACCGGGGTTGTGTTGTCCTCTCTTCCCCAAGACCCTCGTCTCTCCTGCTCCATCGTCACCTTCCTCCCCTTATCGACAACTTCCTTCCCAACGCCTTGATTATTTTCACCCTCTGACAAGTTTTTTCCAGCCCCGTGACGAGGTGTGCTTGGTAGATGGCTACACAATAGCTTCTCTTTCCTTCGCCGTGTTAGAAATTTGGAAAGTAATTGCGCCGGGGAAAGTGGAGATTAATTAAAGAGATGAGTCAGGGGATTGCAGTGCGCTGAGCAGCAAACCAAAACCCAACGCGCCGGAGTTTGCCGTCGTCGTTTGTAGCTTTAATTACACTGGTTGGCAACAGGATCCCCGTCACTTGCCGCGCGAACCGAGGCGATAAGGGTGGAAGGGAAAACGATACGAGCCGAGAGCACGTCCCGTCGTGGAGAGGGGGGAAAAAAAAAGGCAGGGAGGCCGGAGGCATCGCTCCATCCCTGCGGAGGCTGAAATGGAGCATGGGGAAGAGCCTCTGTCCTTCCCAACTTCCCTCTCTCCTTTCCTGTGAGGATGGAGGAAGCAGAAATCACTTCTCTGCCTTTCTCTCCGCCTTTTCGCCTCATCCAGGGATCCTTTCCGTCCGTTGAAGGTCTGTCCATCCTCTGCCTGCCCCAGCTGTCCCTGTGCCCTCACTGTGTGTTGTTATTCCTGATTTGTGGGGTTTTTTCCCTCCTTAGGAGGCCATAACGAAGCGTTTCGGTGTTCCTGAATCCCAGCTACGTATCTACCTACATTACCAACCCTCCTACTACCACCTCCACGTGCATTTCACCGCCCTGGGTTACGATGCTCCGGGTTGCTCTGTTGAGAGGGCTCATCTCCTGGTAGATGTGATTGACAACCTGGAGATGGACTCCATGTACTACCAGAAACGGGCTTTGACCTTCGCCCTTCGCGCTGACGAACGTCTGCTGAAGAAATTCCAGGAGGCAGGAAGAGTCTGAGCAGGCAGAAGACACTTTTGTATCTGTTTATTTTTAATAAATGCCCGTTTTGTGGATTTATTTTATTTTTACAAGTTTCGGTGCTTTTAATTTTTTTTTTAAACTCTGATTTTGTACAAATTGGGGCTGACAACCCATTGCTATGGAAACGATGTCTTCTTCTCAAGTCAATTAAAACATTGATTGAGTTAATCCCTTTTAGTCTGTTGGTTTTTAACAGGGTTGTAGCACCCGACTGGGCTCCTCTGCAGAGGGATTTGTACAGGAGGACCTGTGTGAATCCATCTTTTCCACCCAAAAAACAACCCCTACCACCAAATATCTACCTAAAGAAGGGAGTAAGTAGCTGACGGGTCTAAGAAAACCCGCCGTCCTTGGAAAAACTTCCCTGTTTCCTACAGATTTACTCCTGGGAGCAGGATTGCAGCTTTCCTAGAGCAGGGAGGGGTTTCTTGCTCTAAATAAATGACTAACAGAGTTCTCACCCCTCCCAGCCAGCTGCCCTGGGCTTTACGAGAGCAAACGGGACTGAGAAGCGTTGCCTCTACCCTGTTAATTAGTCATCTATCTGGCTTAAATGAGCTTGTTTAAAAGGGCAGCCCCTCCCTGATAGAGGCTTCTCAAGGATTCCTCAACGTGCTCGTTAAGAAATAAATCGATAATATTGGTTTTTCCTTCTGCTAAAGTGGTGGCAGGGCAATAAATGTCTTCCTGCAGCTGGAGGCTCCTGGTGGAGGAACCTCCTGAGATCCTGGATGGGTTTGTTGCTGTTTTCACCTCTGTTAAAGTTTTTCTTCCCCCCCCCCTTTTTTTTTTTTTTCCAATGAGACCCCAACTTCTTCCTCACTTGCTTGACTCAGTTTAAACGATCCTCATGCCGTGACCTGGCGAGAGTTGCGGTGAGAAAACCCAATTTTTAGGTACAGAGAGAGGTTGAAGCTGCTGCCCCAGCCATGTCTTCTCCACCGGACACCAACCTCTGAAAACTTCATGAGTTCTTGGTGCCAAAGAGAGCTCTGGTTTCTGGTCAGCTTGGTAACCAGGAAGATAATTGCAGGAATCATCTTGCCAGCTACCCCGTTTATTTGCTTCTTTTCTAAGAGGCTTATTTTGCTGCTGAGGTGTGAGATGTGATTTATTTCCAGGGCTGTCCCGGGATGGAGCGGTCCAGGGGCGGCTGGATTGCAAGTGGCATCAGTGGAGATGCCCAGGGCTTTGTGCGCCTCATCCGATTAATAAATATTCAGGTCAGGCAGTTCCCTGGTACCTTTTAGCAGCAGGGGAAAGGCAGAGCAGCTGGCTTTTCTTATTTCTTTTTTAATTCTCTTTTTCTTCTCTTATTTATTTTTTTATTCTCTTTATTCTCTTATTTCTTTTTTTTTAGTCTCTTATTTCTTCTTTTATTCTCTTATTTCTTATTTTATTCTCTTTATTCTTTTATTCTTATTTATTTTTTATTCTCTTTTTTCTCATTTCTTTTTTCCTTCTCATTTATTTTTTATCTTTATTCTCCTTTTTCTTCTTTTCTTTTTTCCTCTTTTCCTCTTTTCTTTTTTCCTTCTCTTTTTCCCCCCTTCTCTTTTTTCCCCCTTCTCTTTTTTTCCCCTCTTCTCTTTTCCCCCCCCTTCTCTTCCCCCCCCTTCTCTTTTTTTTCCCCTTCTCTTTTTATTCTCCTATTTCTTCTCTCATTTCTCTGCAAAAATCCAGTGTGCAGGAAGAAGAGGAATCTTCCCCTCTTGTTTCAGACCTACCCATCTCCAGAGCGGGGCACATGTGGGGCCCGAGCTGACTGAGGAGCTGCTGTAGGAGTGGATTTGGAGATGATCAGCGTGGTTGGCCGTCCCCTGGCTCTCTGCATCCCTGGATTTTAAGTTCCTAAGGGAAAGGGATGATTTTTTTTTTTTCCCCAATATGATTTTTTTTGACACCAGAGCATTTTTTGTGCCAAGATGGAACTTGAATGAGGGAACATCACAGTTTTATGTACCAGCCTAGGACTGGAGATGGTTAAACAACAGATGGGACCATCTTCTCACCCAGGAAGCTTCCCTGTTCTTCAGGTATTAAAAAAAAAAAAAACCAAACCAACTCATCCTGTCTTGAAAATAGACTTGTTGAGGGCTGTGACAGACGACTGAACAGCCCATCTTCTGCAGACCATCTGTCTGCTCCCGTGGGAGGAACGTTTCTCCTGGGAGACTAGAAAACGCACTGCCTGGCCACCACCCATCTCCTTTGGGAGCAGGGGGATACGTGGAGCCTGGGATGGGGATTGTCCCACCTACCCCAAGAGAAGAAGGCAGAGAGATTCATTTTAATGGATCTGGAGCTTTCAAAAGATGTCTTGAGGTCTTTGGGTTGGGTTTAGCAAAGCCAGACAGTGTTTCTAGGCTATGGGTTGAGGAAGAGGAAGCCTGAGGTGGTCAGCAGGACAAAGTTGGCTTGTGCTGGCCTTGAATCGCCCCATTCTTGTCCCTCTCAAGCCCAGCTGAGGGCATCCCCATCCTCCTTTATTAACAGATCACACTCGCTTGGCTCCTGCTTTGTCCTTTCGGGAGCGTTTCGGCTGCGGCGTGACACTGCGAGGCCATCCTGGGATGGCAAAACCTCTCCCTGCACGCTCGTGGGGCGAGAAAACAGTTCCCGTTCCTCGCTGTGGATTTTCTAAAGTGTTTTACTGATGTGATTTCCACATGGCTTTGGACTGGGTGATGGCAGAGCTGGTTACAAATTCACTTCTCAAACAGCCAGCTTTTTTATTTTTTTTTAATTTATTTTTTTTTCCTCCCCCTCTTTTTTTTTTCTTCTCCAAATTACTTGGCACTCATCGTGCTGAATTAATCTAACCGGCAATTTATCCTTTGTAAATTAAATATTAGGGCAGGGTTGTAGTCATTAGCGATGAGTAACTACCCAGCAAACGCTGGTGGCATTCTGCTAAGGCAGCAAATCCAGAGCGCGGTATTTTCTGATGGGTTTTAAAAACGTGTCGTCTACCAGAGTTGTGGTGGCTGCTGGAAGCTCTTTACTGGTCTTTGGGTCCACCTAAGGGGTCTCTTGGGAGATGGGTTACCCAAGGAGATGTGATAGGCAAGGTGGGCACCCTGTACCTGCCCTGTGGATGCACAACTGGTGCACTGATGTTCCTACGGGATGGACACAACTGGTGGTCACTGCTTGGCATGGGATCACCACTCTTCTCCCAAACCTTGGTGAAGCTCAAGCCACAGCACTGAGACCTCTTGGCGTGGAGATCTGGGCAAGGCAGCTAGTGTGGAGTCTACCAGAGCTGCAGTGGCCACTGGAAGCTCTTTGCTGGTCTTTGGGTCCGCCATCCTTGGGAGATGGGTTACCCAAGGAGATGTGGTAGGCAAGATGGGTGCCCCGTACCTGCCCATGGATGCACAACTGGTGTGCGCAGATGTCCTGAAGTTCCTACAGGATGGACACAACTGGTGGTCACCACTTGCCATGGGATCACCATTGTTCCACCAAACGTTGGTGAAGCTCAAGCCACCATGCTGAGACCTCTTGGTGTGGAGATCTGGGCAAGGCAGCTCGTGAGGGAGATGTGGAGTCTACCAGAGCTGCGGTGGCCACTGGAAGCTCTTTGCTGGTCTTTGGGTCCACCTAAGGGGTCTCTTGGGAGATGGGTTACCCAAGGAGATGTGATAGGCAAGGTGGGCACCCCGTACCTGCCCTGTGGATGCACAACTGGTGCACTGAAGTTCCTACAGGATGGACACAACTGGTGGTCACCATTTGGCATGGGATCACCATCATTCCCCCAAACCTTGGTGAAGCTCAAGCCACCATGCTGAGACCTGGTGTGGAGATCTGGGCAAGGCAGCTCGTGTGGAAGGTGTGGAGCTGGAGCAGCTCCCTCATGTTGGGTTAGCATCTCTACAAGGGCTTTTATTCTGCTCTTGGTCCTCTTGATGCTACCCCAGGCTGTTGAGGGATGCTCCAGGGCGGAATCCATCACCCCAAAATGAGCCCATCCCACCATCCCAGCACTGAGAAGGTCTTGGGAAGAGAAGCTTTGCAGCTTCTGTTAATGTTTATCTCGAGGGCATGGCAGAACCAGACATTTGGGACGCATCATTATTGCCGGAGTTTTATTGAACGCTGTTGATTATTTTCAGATTCCTACAGAGGAACCCAAGGGACTGAAGGGTCTAAATATCCTTCAAGCCAATCCCACTTCCCCCCGCTGAGCTGTGGCCCCAGTAATTACCCTGGGATTGTCTACGAGCTGGTGGTAATTAAAGCCTAATTACAGTGGATTCATCCTGTCACCGTGGCTAAAACTCTCCATCCTGGTACCTCACATCTCGCCATCCTGCGTAGGCTGAGGGATGAGGATCCTCGTCAAATATTGATGAGGTCGCTCAATTAGCCTTGGTAATATTGGAGCCATCAGTTCAACAGGTTGATTAATTTTATTAATTAATTTTCTTGGCGTTGATCAAGACGTGTTGATCTTCAAACGGGGCTGGTGCCCTCCCAAGTTCTCACTAGTTCTTGTTTTCCAACCTGAGAAAGAAAAAGAAACTTGGCCACCTTCAGCAAGAAGCTGTTTTCTCTTGGATGTGATATTTCATATTATTTCCCCGGTAGAAATCAGCGTTAATATCATTAATTATCTCAGGAACTGATAGAACCCAACCTTGGTGCAGGAAGGATGAGTTTTAACCTTAAAAAATCAAAATCTCGAGGAGTCGGCTGGTGATTTTGTGTATCGTAAAGATGGGATGGAAATAAAATCCCATAGGAGACCGAAGTGGCTGGGG